CTCATACAATTCATCAACAATTTTATCGTATAGGTCACTATGTTCAATTCGGCTACAAAAATTATTGTTAAGATCTTATGTGGTTAACGTATAATCACAAACAATCCAAATATATCATGTGTATATAAATGTTAAATTTTCTGTGTAAGAGGACATTTTGAAGGAGACGACTTTTAAAATAAATTGCCAAAAGCGACCTAAAATTTTCTCTAGTCAATAAAAGAAGATTTTTTGTGCTCGGTTAAAATTATTTTCAAGAATACGATAATTATTTTGAAACTATTGAATTCTCAAAGTGTTGAGAATAGATAAAGGTCGGTCGAGCAAAAGTTGAACGCTAAGAACATGTATTACACAATTTAGGAAAAAAAAAAACTCAATTAACTCGACTCAAGTAATAAAAATGAAGTTTTAAAAGTTCGAATTTCCTCAAAATGAGCAAGGGTGTAGGTTTAAAAAAAAAAAAAAAAACTCCTTCGTTTCAGAATATATATTTTTCAGTGAAATAAGCCTAGAATTGCTACGGATCGTACGGAATTGGTGCAAGTTAGCACATCCAGCAGGTCTCTATATCTATATCATACTGAACAGGATAACATCCCCGAACCGACTCGACTCCACTCGACTCTGTGGGTTAGCAGTGGCGACGTGCACCAGAAAAAAGGGGTTGATTGCAAAATGGCAAAAGAATAGCCTTCCACGTGTCAGTTGGTTTGAGATCAAACTTCTCGCCTAAATACCGTTTTTAACCCGAAATGACGAGTGTTTCGTGAGTTGAATTGCCAATAAAAATCCAAATGAGAGCAGTGTCAGATAAAACACGCGGAAAAATTAATTTCACCGCGTTGTTGACGCAGTACAAGTCACGGGTAAATTTTCCTCAAATTTAATTATGTGGGTCCTCATAGATAAATGCCAGGTGAAAAACTATTTTTCGGTGTAAAATGTAGCCCATATTTGAGTTGCATTAAAATTTTCATTTTCATTTTTCAATTCATTTTTAATCATATATTTTTCATCACATCAATAATTTTTTATTCTTTTTCAATCACACATTCTTCATCAATCTACTTTTCCAAAATAATGTGGCTCAAACACACCAGTATTACGGGGTGTTTGCTGCACGATATTGAGGGAATAATGTATTTTAATAATGATGTGATGAAAAATATTCTTTTATTGAAAAATGTGTGAATGAAAATGAATTTTGAAAAAATGTGAATCAAATATGTGCTATATGTAGCATCTCAATCCACAAAAATATTATGAAATAGAGATAGGAATTCGATATAATTTTTTGAAAATAAGTAAATAATAAAATTAGATTAGGAATACTTCTACGTTTCTAAGAAAAAAAAGTGACATTTTTACTGCAAGACTGATACTTTTTCAATCGTTCTCAACAAAACGGATAAAAGAATATCGAATCTATGAACTCATTCACATTTTTATTACAAAAAATTGAACTTTTTCTACATGTTTAATTACCAAAAGAATAAAAACCCTAACTTATTGGAATGAATACTTGAACAAGAAATAAAGATACAACTTGCTCTAAAATTTATTAAAACAAAAGAAATTAAAGCCACAGACTTTTCTTTACTTGGACACAATCCAAACAAGTCCTTGTTTATCGGCCCCGATAGAGCCCGTTCTGCCCAGTCAAAATTGAGCCTTTAAAGCCTGTGAGAATTTGAAGTAAATGCAAAGGTAAGGTTAGCCTGAAGATATTTTAACTTAGCCATGGTTTGGTTAAATTCTAACCATGGTTAATAAAGCTGTTTATAAAGGAACCACCTCTTGAAGAGCAGGGTAAAGACTATGACAGTGGCTATAAGGCGAAAAAAATTCTGACGATGATGATAATCGGAGATGCTCCGAAACCGAATCCTACCGTCCAAATTCCGGCGTGGGATTACCATTTTCTTGATGATCCAATAGCCCACATTCACTCTACCAGCCCTGATGTGTCCCATTATGAGAGCGCTTTATCAGCGTTGCAGAGGTTTTTACCAGCGAGAAAGGATGACGATGTTTTGCAAGGAGAAAATGGTGGGTCTGATGATTTTGATATTCCGGTTGATGCATTTTCATGTGATGATTTCAGGATGTTTGATTTCAAGGTGAAGAAATGCGCACGAGCCAGATCACATGACTGGACGGAGTGCCCATTTGCGCATCCCGGCGAGAAGGCCCGCCGGAGGGATCCCCGTAAGTACCATTATTCCGGCACTGCTTGCCCGGATTTCAGAAAGGGTGTGTGTGGAAAGGGTGACTGCTGTGAGTATGCGCATGGCGTATTTGAGTGCTGGCTTCATCCGGCTCGCTACCGTACGCAGCCATGCAAGGATGGGACCCACTGCCGCCGGAGGGTTTGTTTCTTTGCTCATACGCCGGGCCAGCTTCGGTTGCTTACTCCCGAAGGGTCTCCGGGTCATATCGGGTGTGACTCGCCGGGTCGACTTGGACAGGACCCTTTTATGAATGCGGGGGTTTATGGCCTGTACTCACCTCCGTCTTCTCCTACGACTGGGTCACCTCCGGTGTCGCCGAGTCGAAACTCGGTTTTTGGGCTGGCTGAGTCAATGCGGGGACTGCAGATTAACAAGGTTAGGATGGGCCTGACTCCTGGTCTGAGCATGAGCCCACCGTCATGGGGCCCCAAAATGGGTTCCGGGTTCGGATCTCCTCGTAGCCCATCAAGTCTCCGACCCGGATTCATGAGCCTCCCTACGACTCCGATCCGGGCCCCAACTCGTTCCGGACGCACCGCATACGACATTTGGCAAGCATGTTGCGAAGAGGAGCCAGTGATGGAGAGAGTCGAATCCGGAAGAAAGCTGCGTGAGAAAATCTATGAAAAACTGAGTAAGGAAAACTCGCTGGACCGAGTGGAATTGGGCAACCCGGGTTCCCATTTCGGGTGGGTTTCTGAACTATTGCAGTGAATCGGGTTCTTGGATGTTTTGACTTGTGTGAACACATTACATTATGTTGCTGAGATTCCATTGAAGTTGACTGACTGGTCTGTAAATTTTATGTTAATTAAATGAGATGGAAGGGAAGGGAGATTAAGTGATCAATCTCTATTTTGTTGTGCGCTTATTTTGGGGAAAAATGTAAATATGAAATCTAGGGAGGGGTCTTCTGGATTCTGATTTGTAAATTCTCAAGTAAATATTTTCATGTTCAATTTGGAATTTTAAGGTTTTTTTTAATAATCCAAATCATCTTATCTTGTGATTCTTACTTTATATTATGGTTTTGTTTGATTATTCTTACATGTAGAGTTGATCAAAATGGGCACTAAATATCTTTTGAAAGGTATCCTCCAAATCACTTGTATGGTTATCGAAATCGTGAGCATCGGCACGTAGGTTCCAGATCTTTTTGGAAAGATATCCTCCAAATCACTGGTATGGTTATTGAAATCGAGATATCCTCCAAATCACTAGTATGGATATCGAAATTGTGAACATCGGCACGTAGGTTCTTGATTCATGAATACACGGGGAACTTCACGCCTAAAGCGCATAGCGATTAGAGGGAGAGATTTATATAATATATAAATTAGACAGCTTGATGAGAGCCGGGTGCTAATCTAGCCCAACGAAGTCCCTTTCTCGTCGGACCCAATATACCCATGATTGATTTCAGATTTTATCACGCCTGTTTCGGAGGATGGTCGGATAGGTAATCAGTAGATAGACGTTTTTTTCCCTATAAAAATGTTGCCTTAGGTTGTCATTTATAAACTCATTTAAATTTAGACGAATTGATAGGTTCTCTTATTATAATTGTGAGTGGATTTAAAAGAACTAGTTAGAACTTAGAAGGTGGAATGATAGATCCTTAACTTCGTCTAGTTGACTCTTTTAATCTTATCGAGAACAATTTTTTTGTATGTAGACGGCTTTTCTAATCGAAAAATATAAGATTGTTGGCTGTAGTTGGTGTCAAGAATGTATTTATTCATATTCAAAACAAGTACATTTTTAATGAAATTATTATACAAAGAGATCTTGACCTGATCTAATGGTTGGCTTTAGTCAAAGATTGGATAATATTGACAAGATTAGTTGTTTGACGTGGAAATTGAAACGATAAGCATGTCCTTGTCAATCTTATCCTCACTTTAATAATTGGCACTTGCATTTAGTTAATCGATCACACATATCATTCAATTTATACTTTTGTAATAGTGAATGAATCTTGAGGTTCACGGAGTTCTCGAGCTATGTTTGGTGGAAGCTGCAAGAGTTTAGTATGAAAATATGCTACGTGGAATACACGACATTTTATACATTTTTTTTCAATAGAATTCTTCAAAAATTCAACCAAGGGGCATAAATGGTCATTTTTTTAATCCAAAAATGTGACGAATTTTAGCTGTTAGGAAGTGAGAAGTGTACTAGACAAACAAGCAACAAAACGTTGGTAGTGGCCCCTCGACACATAGTTCAGTGGTGTAAAGGACAGAAGTGAGATAGTCTCAACACAATCGCAGTGTGAGAGTTCGATTCCTATCTCTTACAAGGTATGAAATTAGACTATTTGTGGACACCAGTATGACAACTTTTGTACTCTGACCTGCTGAGGCACATCTCGCGATTTACCTCCTCCACAATACTTTAGAAACGAGGCAGTGGAGGATCCTCAAGGTTGGGATTCAACCTTTTGTTTTTAACAAAACGTTGGTAGTGATTAGAATAGAGTAAAATAGAGTAGACAACATCATTGATTCTTGTGTCACTTGCTTTTCTTAGGTCCCCGACAAAGAAAGTGCCAAAAAATTGCATAACCCAACCTAAAAAGCTGAGAGAGTTTAACTTTGAATTCATTCTGTCTGTCTAGTGGGATGTGGTGTGGTCTAGAAAACTAGGACTCATCTTTTACTGTGTCTCATCCTGCAAAGTGAACGGGACCGGATACAATGAACAAAATTTAACTTCTCGTTCTAGTATTATCCAAACATATGAACTTTCACTATTTAGATCGCCAATGGGTTATATGAAATTATGAACAAACAAACAAACACACACACACACGGGGGCACAGCCACGCAAGTGACGACTTAAAGAGTTATCTCATTAGGTACAAGTGTTTCGAGCAGAGCCAAGTGCCAAGGTGTGGCTGAGAGGAATCACTGAGTTACTTGAGATCATACCTTGACTGGGCCTCACCCACCACCTCGACAGGCACACGGCCCAGTGTAGGTTTTTAGCATAGAGGAAAATAAAGTGACATTATAGCAGTAACTCTATTCATATTAACTTGTCTCTAAGAATTGGAAAGCACCTATTCCAACACTGAACAGTTAACATGATCAAATTTTCAGCCATCACTTTTTTAGCTTTTATAAGAAACTTCTCAGAATTTATTTATGCACACATTTATATAGCAACTAGTGCAAGGCCATCTAAATCCATCTTTTCTGGGTGATGGCATTGTAAAGACAGATGGAGCAGCAGCTTATCGCAATTTTTAGTACATTTCCAGCATTCTTCCCCTTAACATTGCGTCTGCTTTCCTCACCTGCTTTGCTGGCCCAATGATAAAAACCTGCGAGACCGGTGAAATTTTACATGGGAAAATTCTTATCCAAACAAAAGTAAACGTGATAAACTTCAAATACACTTGCTAAAATTTGATGCATTCTAACAAAACTCTCCCTATTTGGGCATAGAAAATTTCAACTACTAAGAAATCACAAGATTTAATTCATCACAATTCTTGTCTCGCAAAATGTTATTCCAGGCAGTCATAACAAAAGCAAGATTTCCCCTATTCTAAGTCTCCGACCGGCCCATACTTTTTTGGTACACTACATTCACATTTACTTGCATTGAAGGGCTCATAAGAAAAAAGTTAATGCTAGGAAATTCATTTCAAAGTTGGGGTTTGATACCGGATTGACAAATAGAAGGTTTAAATTAACGAGTGAGAGTATTGGCAGACTCTTCAATAACAATGAAAGCTAACCTTGTCAGGAGGACCTTTATCACCTCCAATGACTATTTCAGCACTGCAAACATATGAATCTTAAGTAAGGAAAAGATCAAAAGAAAACGAGTCACAACAGAAAGAAACAGGTGCAATATCCACGGAAACAGCAAATACACTGATTATTTGTAAACCAAGAAGATTTTATTCTCACATGAAAGATTACTACGTAAACACTAATGGACTTTGAAAGATCAAATTGAGGGTTAAGAGTATCATGACAAGAAAGAAATTTGTTAGAATCTAAAGATTGATTTTTTGCTTCTCTTGCAATGCATCCATTTGCTGTCTAGAATTAGTCTTAAAAATTAATTAATTCATTTGTTTCCTAATGTTTGAGGCAGAAGTCCTTTAGCTCCAAAACCTTTACCTTTTACTACATATCATATAAGAAAACATGGAAACTCAATGAAGATATATGTGCTTACATGTATACCAGATTCAAGCACAAAAACCTCCACGCATGGGGTTTAAACAAACACATCCATACTATATCACTATTGCAAATTAATTATTGACACCATAAAAAATTGAAAAGAATATTAGTGATCATGTATTCTATTAATTATTTCATGATGCTTATGAGTTTGATTCATATCAAGAAAGAAGAGCATACTCGCATGACTCCTTTACCGACAAGATATTAACTCCCCGTCTTCCAATAACACGGCCCATTTTTCCTGGGGGAACATCAAGAACTGAGAGGACTTCTTGTTCAGGAGCATTCTCATTAACAATTAGATTGTCTGAAGAGATAAAAGAACTATAGAATCAGCACCAGATAAGGTGTAACTTCAAAATGATGATCTAAATCATATTTACGTGCAGCACTTCTGCTATTCTGCAACAAGACGATGAATAATTTGATAACAAAAATAAATCACCGAGACATTATTCAATACTTACTAATGCACCAATAAAATTAAAATGACATCCGAGAGATTTTAAACGTGAAGCGTAAGCAATGAACACTTGGGTTATAGTTGTTGAAACTAAAATCTGCAAAGCAAATGAAAAGGCCATAAATTGGTTTTTCATCAAATTAAAAGCTGAAATATATGATGTTTTTCCAATGTGCCAAAATTCAGCAAATTGATTCACATCTCTTGAGCTAAGGGGCTGGGATCTCAGCGTAGGGTCAAACTATGTTTTGCAACAAGTTAGCTCAAGAGACGGGGGTACATACGCGTAGAATAAAACTATGTCTAGCAACTAAGGACAGGTTTTATCATATGTTTTACTTCGATGATAGGTAATTTGAGTTTCTTCAACGAGCTCCATTTACAAATTATATAAGTGATAATGCATTCATTCAAATGCGTGAATGAGTAAATGCATATTAGAAGAACTACCAAACATGAAACTAAATATTAGGGGGAAGAAAAAATTGAAACCTGGAACTGGAGGCAGAGTGGCCCAATCTGCATAATTATTGTCATTGGTGCAGAAACATCTGCAATAAAGGGCACCACGGACTGCAAGATACCACAATGATATTTGGTTCAATTTCTCCACCATCTTATGATAGATAAAAAGAAGAAATCGAACATTATCAGCAGCTGTCCTGATCATTAGATCTGACAATGGTCTATACTTCCAAAAGTAAGGATCCTAGAAATGAGTAGAAACTAGAGATCATCAAGACAGAGAGGGCAGATATATCTCCAACAGCAAAGTGACACTATGGTCCTACATGGCTATCAAGAAATAAAAAGTTTAAACACGCCTAATATTAGGTTCAGTGTCTAAGTGGTTCTAAACCTTTAACTGTAGTTATAAAATTGATTACACATATTTTCTCATGAAACATGAATGAATCAAAGGAGTTTAAAACCAAAATGCCAAAATTAACAATTCAATGACAAACAATATACACAAACTCAGCATTTTAATGGGAAAATATAGGTATTTACCTCACCAGATATGCCTATGAGGATGGATGAAT